CTCCAGATGGCCTGGAGGAAGGCTCCATTCCTTTTTCCACTGATGAAGGAAGCGTTGGGACCCAACCGCGCACTGATTACCCTCATCCGGAAAGGTCCCCATGCCGACATTATCCCGCAAAGTGTGCTTCCGTGGCCATGCTGTGACGATGAACGACCTGGCTCGCCTGCTGGTCCGGCGCGCCTCTTATCGCCCTCGCCTGCGGTTCCGAGTCCTGACGCGCCGATTGTTCAACCGCAGACGGCGAACGGTCCATCGTCAGCGACCCCGGCGGCGCCGTCGACGCTGACTGCGCAGCATCAGCCTCCAGCCGTGCAAAGCACGCAGGCGGCGTCCGAATGGACTGCTGCCGCAGCGGTAGGGGGCGGCCATCCGCTTCAGCAAACCGCCCAACCTCCGCAGAGCCAGGCTTCCAATCCGTCACCACCGGCTCCCCGCAGTGGCATCCCTGACCATCCGCCAGCTGGTCAACTGGGAGTGCCGAACACTGTGGCGCAGCCCCCGACCTACTCGGGGTCCGTGGCATACAAACCGCCCACGGCTGGCTTGACGACGGCTCCTGCGCCAGGCCCAGCAGGGCCGCCCGCCCGTCCCCTGGTGCCCATGCCCACTGCATCCCAAGCGCCACAAGCGCCGCTATGGACCACGGATACTGTCCCGCACATTACCTCTGTTCAACCGCCGTCGGCGCCGGGAGTGGCGCCGGGGTCCTATCCCGGACAGTCAGTGAGTCACGGCGTGGCTGCGGGCATGCCGCATCCCGCGCAGCCGCAGGTTAACCAGTCGATGCACCCTACCGCTCTCGCATACGGCTCGTTGCACCCGCAGGTGACTGGTCACCTCCCCTCCGGCCAGCTCTACGTCGGCCCAGCCGGTCAGGTTGTACAAGCTGGCCATGCTTTTCTAACCGGTCAGGCTGGTCAGGCTGGTCAGGCTCTTCAAACTGGCCAAACTGGTCAAGTTGTCCAGACCGGTCAGGCTATTCAAGCTGGTCAGGCTGTGCAAGCTGGTCAGACCGTTCAAACTGTTCAAGCTGGTCCGACTGCTCAAACTGCTCATACTGTTCAAGCTGTGCAAGCTGGTCTAGGGGCACCCCCGCAACCTTCGTTTCCGATGGCCCACGGCCAACCTGCCGCTGCGGTCCCAAACGGCGGCAGCTTGCTGACCGCACCCCAGCCCGTTCAGCACTGGGCGCCCGGCGTGGCGGGACTGCCGCAGGCAGCGACGCAAACCGCCCCTCCAACGCAACCGGTAAACGCCGCGCTGTCCGCCCAGCTAACAGACCCGTGTCAGGGAACACTGGTGCATCCCGGGCAGCCGCAGGCATCAGCCCAACCGTCCACCGGGCACCCTCCCGTCGAACCATCTCAGCAAACACCCTGGCCACCCCAGCAGCAGAATGACTCTGCGATGGACAGTGACCCG